CCAGTTTTCCCTTTTTTTGACTCTATCTCCATTCCCCCCTCTCAATTCGTCCGGGGAACCCCTTGTCCTTTACCGGTTGGGGGGGGGGAAATAGAGGTTAGGGAGGGGATGGAGGTTGTGGGGGGGGATGGTTTTTGGGAGGGGTAGAATAGTTGGGGGGGAGTTGATGGTTGGGGGAGAGGGGAGGAGGGTTTTTAGGGGGGAGGGGGAGGATGGATTGGAGGGGGGAGGTTTTTGGGCGGGGGTTAGACGGTTTGGGGAGGGGTTAGGTGGTTTGGGGGAGGGGTGGGTGGCAAAGGTGAGGGGGTTAGGGAAGGGGTGGTACGTTTTTGTTTTATTTTTGTGTCAAGTGGTGGAGGGTGTGTGTGTGGTGTGGTGTGTGTTGTGGTTGTGTTTGTGGTGGTTGGTGTGTGTGTGTGTGTTGTGTGTTGTGTGGTGTGGGTGTGCGTGTGTGTGTGTGGTGTGTGTGTGGGGGTGTGTGTGTGTGTGGTGTGTGTGTGGGTGTGTGTGGTGTGTGTGTGTGTGGTGGTGGGTGGTGTGTGTGTGGGTGTGTGTGGTGTGGGGTGTGTGTTGTGGTGTGTGGTGGGTGGTGTAATGTGGGGGGTGTGGTGTGTTTTGTGTTGGGGGGGGTGTTATGTGTGTGTGTGTGTGGTGTGTGTGTGTGGTGTATTTGTGTGGTTGTGTGTATGTTGTGTGTTTTTATGTGTGGTGTGTATGTGTGTACTCCCTATTTGTACTCCCTATTTGTGGTTGCGGGGGCGAGTCCTGTCTGGCCCCCCCTCTTCCCCGGTTGCTACTAGGCCCTTTTCCTCCCCCCCATAGTTTTTATAAAAACCTCGTTTTAAAACTGTTTTGGGTTCCTGCCCCACTATCATTTTTGGGCATTCCATCCCTTACAACTCTATGATGAAGAAATACCCCCTACTATCTCTTGACCCATTTGTGTTTTAAAATTTCCAATTGTGGCCTCTTGTTTCTGTGTCCCCCCCCGGGAACACCCGTCTTTGTCCCCCTTGTCTATTCCAGCAGTATTTTTATGTCGTCTCATGTCCCCCCTGACCCCCCTGTCCTCCCATGTCGTCAGGCCGTTTTCCCTTAATCTTTTTTAATAGGCTTCCCCCTTACTCTGGAACAAACCCCTTGTCGAAAACCCTTTGTCTTTCTCTAGTTTTTTTGACGTGCTTTATCAAGTGCGGGTTCCAAACAGGTGCGCTACTCCAGTAGGGGCCTGACATACACTGTGTCGTGCTTAAATGTTTCCCTTACAAAGGGTACGGAATGCTGTTCTCAGGTTTCCCGGCGCCTATGCTGCAGCAGTTATCTGATTGATGTGTGCTTCCGGGGACAGCTCGGTGTTAAAAACTCACCCAAATTTTTTCTCCTTTAGTGAGGTTTGCAGTTTTGGCCACTACCTTTTCTCTGTCTGTGGTCTTCTGGCCCTTCCCCTTTCTGACTTTTCATTTGGCAGGATTAAAATTTGAGAGCCATTTTCTGGGCCAGGTGTCCGTCTGTCCCGGTCTCTTTGAAGTCCTGCCTGGTCCTATCAGATTTAATTCTCCTCATTAACTTCACATCATCTGCAAACAGGGACACTTTGGTCTAACCCTTCCCTTGCGTTACAATTTCCAAAAAAAGAAATGGTCCTAGGACCGACCCCCGTGGGGCCCCCCTCGTCACAGGGGCCCACGTGAACATCTTACGTACCCTGACTCGTTTTGCCTCCCTTCAGGTATTTTCTGATCCATTGACCCCTTTCCTCCACGGATGGTTGGGGTGCCAATAAAAATAGCCAATTCGGTGGCAAAATCTAAAAATTAAAACTTTTGTCAACGATTTTTTTATAGACAGACCTACGGTGGTAATGGAAAATCTTAGGCCCAACCTGGCTTTTAATTTATCAAGATTTTATTTCCCATCAATTTTAGTTGTGATATATAGGGATAATTATCTGTTTGTCCCTTCCAGGGCCGGATTTTGACCTTGGGGGCGCGGGGACTTAGGTTTTGGGGGGCCCGGGGCACTTTTGGTTTGGGGGGGCCCGGGGCACTTTAGGTTTGGGGGGCCCCGGGGACTTAGGTTTGGGGGACCGGGGCACTTTGGTTTTGGGGGCCCTCAAAATGGAAAAATTAAAATTGAATTTCAAATAAAAAAAATAATGAATGTAAACGCGTTTTGAAAAAAATGGGTTTCGAAAAAGCGTCTATTTATTTTTCTCGTTTTATTTAATTTT